AACAACTGCCAACATAAAAGTACACGAGGGTACAGTTCATTTCAATCACACAACCACCAACATATGAGTCTACGCTTAGGTCACACCACCAATCTCATTCATGGCCACCACGAGGACCACATCTGTACCTTAGTGATTAAGGTCCCATACCCTTAATCATGCAATCAAGTTACAGCCAATACACATGTTTTCATCACAGGAATCAATCAATGGATCACAACAAAGATATGAAACTATACTCAACAAGGAAGGATTACAATCCGACATCAACGGTGGTCAACACAAGTTGCCAACCTCAATAGGTAAAAACGAACCACACACACTAGCATTTCATCATCAAACTAGCATTCTTATCAAACGGGTAAATGAAACATAGTTCCGTAGAACATACAAGACTCATCATGGTCCAACGAATCACAAAGTTAAACACTTAGCACGATTCAACACACCAAATCCTACATGGATTCCTAACATATCGTTCTAGACATACGAAATATCAAGAAGACACTCAAATAGCCCAACAAAACAACATTGGGAGGTCAAAACATCAATTACCGAGTCAAAAGAATCACGGGGAACAAATCCCCGACCAACACCAAACATGTACCCCGCGGGTGGGGCCACGGGTGGACCTCCACCCATGGTTCCACCCGCGGGTACCATTACCCACGAGGCATGTACCCCGCGGGTGGGGCGGCGGGTGGAGCTCTGCCCGCGGGTACACTCCTGTACCACACATAATCCTTCGGGGATTTTCAACAACAAGTCCAAATTGAAGTCCAAAACACCCAAAATCTCACAAAATACAACAATATGACTTGAATCCAAGAAATAGCCAAGCAATGGTATACAAGAACCCTAATAACAAGCTCTAGATATGAATTACCACAAGACAATGCATCAAAACTCATATTTCATAACAAAAATCACAAGTAGAAGTCAAGAAATCGACGTATAGGTAAGAAAATAGATTTTGTAAAGCATGGGTTATCTTGTAGCCTAATACTTCACTTTTCACACCCTTAAAAGCTTCTCTTATAGATCTCCTTCAACTCCAACTTCATAAACACACCAAAAGACAACAAAGATTCCATCTTTAGAAAAAGACACCTAAAAAGATACTAAAAACACCAAGAGATCAATGATCTTACTCTCCCCTATGCTCAAGGTTAAGAAAGTATGAATCTTGGAAACAAACTTGAAGAATCTAGGATTACCCAAAACTTGGCTCGAAGAAGAAGCTATCAAGTTTCTAGAGAGAAGGTGGAGCTTTTGTGTTTAGGTTGTTAGGGAAATGAAATGAAGGGTGATTCTAGGTTAGCTTGAGGCACAATCATAAGGTAAAAATACTTCTTTTTCCTTACTAAAGTTGGAATAATAAGGAGACAAGGGAACAACTCATAAGGCATAGAGTACAACTCTTTGACTTGGATTGACTGCTCAATTTCTAGTCCTCCGACTATTGAATTTTCAAGATTTTAGGAATAAATTACCAATTAAGCTAGGATTAATTATCTAATTAATCCTTAAATAGATTTTGGATTTACGGGGTGTCACATCCTCTCTCCCTAAAAAGAAGCTTCATCCCCGAAGCTTGGGTACGACAAATCCAAACAAAACGGCAAAATTAAACAACAATGTGACAAGAGAATCAAGAACATCTTTTGATTAAAATTTCAAGAATTCAAAAAGGTATAAAATTGTCAAGAAGTCATGGCATTGCGAGGTTTAAAGAAATTACCAAAGAAGCTCCTTGAGCACAACAAACACTAAGGCCAAACACAACAAACAAAACCTTCTAAACAGCGCTAGAGTTCTACACAACTAGATTCTAGAAAACAACCCACAAAACTAACTACTCCAACACAACTAACAAGCAAGAAGGATAACACAAGGCAAACAACAAAACAACTAGCAAGCGGCAACAACAAACGAGGGAAGGAAGACGAGATTACCACAACTCCGAACTAGAAAGACTCGCTCTCCGACTCCTCGGTGTCTTCGTCGGACTCTTCATCGGCTCTTCCTCGGCTAGAACTGGCCTCTAGCTGATCCAACCTCTGGTTGACCGCGATGAACTGCGTCTTCATTTATGCGAAGCCTTCCTCTATCATTCTGTTCTGTTGGCGAAGAAGGGTGACCACACGCTCCTCGTGTGTCATGGCGTCGTGTTCCCTCTTGGTCTTAGCTTCCTTCCTTCTTAGGTTTTCTTCATCCTCAGAGTTGCTCTCTTCGACTTCTTCGGCTTCTCCTACATTCACATCTTCCTCTTGGTCCTCCCTGCATCTCCTCCTAAGCTTCGAACTGCGAGGTTCAACTTCCCAACGAGAAGCTCAAGCTCGGCAACTAACGCACTTCTCTCAGCGGGGGTTTTCCTAGCGACCTCTTCGAGTGTGATGTACTCCCTGTCCTCAATCTTAAACAGGTTGCAACTCCGAAGGTTTGTGGCATCCAACACCATTTTACCCACTGGCTTAGGTACACAGCCGTCAACACTTACTTCTTTCCTGGCGAAGATCCAGCTCAAAACCATACCATACGGTAGACTCTTTCGGTTATGATCTCGACAAAAGACCATGTGTTGCAACATTAAGGCGGGTAGGTTGAACTTCACCATATTCTTCAAGCAAAAGGAAAAAGTGTACTCTAACTTTCCCAACAGACGACTCTTGTTGTTATTGGGCAACAGGCAGTCAGAAAAAGGCATAACTAAGATCCTATGTTCAGCAGTCAACCATTTCCTTTCCGGCCGCGTGGCCTGGGTAAAACCACTAGTCCGTCCCAAGAGGTAACTCAAGTAGTCTCGATAACCCATGGTATCCGTCCCAATCCAGGAGTTAATACTATACTGCGAAACTCCCGTAGTGGTCAGACTCAAAAGCTAAGCCAGCCTCTTCTCAGACAAAACTATTTTCAAACCTCTCACCTTAGAGGTAACCTCCAACTTTCCACCATCCTTAGTCACAACCATGTGACGGTAGAACTCCTTCACCAGACTTGGGTAAGTCTCAACCTTGATGGTGAGAAACCCATCCAACAAACCCTGATAATTCAACATCTCCAACAAAGAACTTGAAAAAGAATTAGGATCAAAGGCTTTACCTTCCAACACAAGGGAGTGGGCATCCACCCATTCCACTCTTCTCGTCAAGTTAGTCCTTCTAGGCATGATTGTGAGATGACCACCAATCTCATTCATGACCACCACGAGGACCACATCTGTAACACCCCAGATTTTAGAAACTTTTAAAACTTATATAATAAAGGTAGTACTATTATTAATACCAAAATAGAGCATTACTAAACATAATAGTTTGGGGTGCTATGCCACATCTGAGCTGGAGAACTCAGATGCACAGGCGATAGTAACTAAATATCCTCAAAGAAATGTCAATATATCATAATGGTACGCAGACCGAAATGAAACTAACTATCTAAGCCTTGGTCCTCTAGCGCGCTCCGGATCTACTCATCTGTTCCTAAAAGCCAAATATATCTGTTCAGCAAATAATGCTGGTAACCCACTCCAACGCGTTAACATACAATATAGGTATATATATATATATATATATATATATATATATATATATATATTCAAACCATTTTGAAGCCGGAAGATATATACTTAGGCGACTCTAGCTTTAAAAACCGAGAATAAACTCAACAGGTAGGGACAAGCACATTTAACAATTATAATCATGCATATAAGATACTAGCATATATCCTAAGGTCAAAAGATTGTTTCACATCATTCAATCATTATCTCAATCACATAAGCACACTTTGGTGGCGCCACAGGCCCAATCGCACGCCCATACATGAGGGTCAGTGCATATAGCTCTTTCACGTGTTATACAATTCTCACAATCAACACGTGGACCCTCATGTATGGGCATGCGATTGGTCCTGTGGCGCCAACAAAGTGTGCTATGTGATGAGTTGAGAAGAATTGATGATATGACTGTTATGGAAACGTGACCATAGGGCTCTTGCTAGTAATGCTTAATTGTTATTATTGGTTGTGCTTATCTATAACTGTGCCCTATGTGAGAATTGTATATGCTTGATTATGACTGTTGATTGTGTGTACCCCTATTTGTAGAGTCGGTTCCCTGATTTGAAAGCTAGAGTCTCTTAGGATATATCTTCATGCTTCGAAATGACTTTTCATATATCTATGTATATAACTATATGTATTGTATTTCAACGCGTTGGAGTGGGTTACCAGCATCTCTCGCTGAACAGATATATTTGGCTTTCAGGCACAGAAGAATAAGTCACTGGAGCGCGCTAGAACTTGGAGCATAGAAGTAGATAGTTTTCCTTTCGGCCTGCGTGCCATGCTTATGCATTTACATTATTGAGGATATTAGTTAGTTAGCCTGTGCACCTGAGTTCTCTAGCTCAGGTGTGGCATAGCACCCCGTACTCTTGTATTATGTTTTGGGATTTAATGAGATTTCACCTTTATTTTATAAGTTTTAAATGTCTTGAAAATCTGGGGTGTTACATAGGTACCTGAGGTAATCCTTATACCCCGTGCCTTGGGTACCGATCCATCCCTTCCGGTCATAGTCTGACACACCCGTGGGGGTCAATCTTAGGAGTTTGGCCAAGCGTCCTTCAGAGAGTACTATTTCTTTGCCTCAGACTTTGGTGGTGATTTCAACCATGTCACCCCGTTTGACGGCTACCAAGTGGCGATAGAATTCTTTCACCAACTCCGGGTACGTATCTCCTTTGATTGTGAGATAGGTTTCCAAAATCCCTTGGAAATTAAACATATCAACCAATTCCGGAGAGAATTGGTCGGGTTCGAGGGCTTTACCTCCGATCACCATGTAGTCGGCGTTGTTCCCCTACGGGGTTTGGTTACCAACGGACTTCTTCGGCATTGCGAGATTCCTCAAGGTGGTGTTTTTCCCGGTAATGTTTTTCCGGCGAGGCTACGGTGAACCTCCGGCGAAGTTCTTGTGGGGACTTCCGGCGATTATACAGCGATGTGGCTAGGTTTTTTGGACGGCGAGGGCGCGGCTTGGTTCGGGGCGGAGAAGAAGGTCGCGTGGACAGCGGGAGGGAGCCGGGTGCTGTTCGGGCATGGCGTGGCAATGGGCGAGCGACGGGTGGCTACCGGGGCTGCGACGGCAACGTGCGGATGGGGTCGTCGGCCGGTTGTGGTGGCAGCCTGTCGGCTGGGCGCGGAGCGGTGAGCGTTGGGCGGTCGATGGTGGTGCGGCGGCAGGTTGCGGAGGTGAGGGTGGTGATGGCAGTTTATTTGAGGGGAGGAGAGAGAGAGAGAAAAAAAATGTGTGTTTGGAGGAAGAAGAAGGGTTTTTTATTGGGGAGTTTTGTGGGTTTTAGGGATTTGGAGAGATTTAAGAAGGGAGTATTCCCTTGAAGTTTTAAGGAATGTTTATAGCCTAGTGGTTAAAAACTTAGTTTTATAAGTGGGAGGTCTAGGGTTCAATCCCCATTGGTAGCATTGGTCTTCTTTGTTGTGCATCCTTTGAGGGGTTTGATCGGTCTCCCTTATTGAACTTTTGTCTTCATTGGGTGTTGATTTTGGTGACTCATGGGTTCTTGGGGGATGTTTAGTCCTTCTTTTGATGTTAATTTATTTGACTTCGTCTTTTATTTATAATAATTTCTAAGTAACTAAACTAAACAAGTGTTTTTACTACGAGGGAGGTTTACAGGGGATTTTACTGATTACCCTAAGCAGAATTCTTCTCCCAGGTTCCCTTCCGATTGATTTGTGGGGTCCTCGTCTCCTGGGGCCATGTTTTCTTCGTCGAAGTTGCCCTCGTCTTCAAGATCGGCCTGAGTGCGGCTCATGACGAATACTTTTCCGAAGGCATTGTAATTCCCTTGATTGTTCGCGCCCCGTGTTGGCCCATGACTGTAGGGCGCGAGTTCGGGGGTTGAGTGCATTGGAAGGACTTGTGTCCTTATCCTCCGCAGTTGAAGCATCGCCAGGGGTTTCCCATGCAGTCCTTGCCTCTATGGTCTTTGTTGCACCTCCGGCAAAGGAAGGGTCTCGTATTAGTTTCGTTGTTTCTCAGGGGCGGCCCTTGGCTAGTTGGGTTGCTTGGCCTCGAGTTAGTGTCGTTTCTCGTTCTTTACACGGGTGGTTCCACACCTCCCGTGTTCCTTTTATGAATCTGTTCCTGGACTCCACGCTACAGTAGTTGGATTTGATAGAGGTTGGCGGCACTGGAGTAAGCTTCGTTGAGGGTTCGGGGTACAGTCCGCTCAAGATTAGGGCTTTTCGGGCTTCGAAGTTGAGGCCTGACACAAACTTTTCTATCTTGGTCGTCTCTGTAGGGACCAATTTGCGGTGTGAAACGGGCCAGTTCGAGAAACCGTTTGTGGTACTCCATGATGGTGGCCATCCCTTGTTTCAAGTGGAGGAATTCTTCGTACATGGCTTCTCTTACGTGTGCAGGGTAGAATCGTTCTCGTAGTCGTGTCTTTAGGCTTTCCCAGTTGAATCCTAGTTCTTGTCTGAAAGTGGGCCCCTCGTGGACCCACCAAAGGTCGACTTCATGTCCGATGTAGAATGAGGCTATTTCTACGCGGCGCTCTTCTGGGCATTCCACTAACCCGAGGATTTTGTCGAAGGTTCGAATCCATTCTTCGAGGATTGCGCAGTCCCCTTCCCCAGAGAAGATGGGTGGCCGATGATTCGAGATTTGTCGAGTGATATCCGAGTTCCCGTTTGGTGGTGGTGGTGGTCAGTTGTTGTTACGGAGAGCTACGTCGCTCAGTGTCTGGGCGACCTGAGTCAGTTGCTGTAGAGTCTGAGCCAGAGGATCGTGAGTGGTAGGTTCGGGGGTCCTTGATTGTCTTCTATTTGGTGCCATGCTGATGGTCTACAGGGCCAATGTTTATTGTAATGATGAGTTAGTGTGTTGTAATAAGCGTAGGGGAGAGTTCTTTAAATTAAATGTAGAATAGAGTGAGGGAGTGGTTATATAGGTAGGCTCACAACCTCACCGCGCGTCCTAAGATTCCTGAGTCCTATGTTCCTAAATACCTAGAGTTCAAGCCTAATGTCCTAAAGTCTTGTCTTAAGAGTCTCATCCTAAGGTCAAACTTAGGCTCTGATACCAACTATAACACCCCAGATTTTCGAAACTTTTAAAACGTATATAATAAAGGTAGTACTATTATTAATACCGAAATAGAGCATTACTAAACATAAGAGTTTGGGGTGCTATGCCACATCTGAGCTGGAGAACTCAGATGCACAGGCTATACTAACTAAATATCCTCAAAGCAATGTCAATATATCATCATGGCACGTAGGCCGAAAGGAAACTAACTATCTAAGCCTCGGTCCTCTAGCGCGCTCCGGATCTACTCATCTGCTCCTGAAAGCCAAATATATCTGTTCAGCGAATAATGCTGGTAACCCACTCCAACGCGTTAAAATACAATATAGGTATATATATATATATATATATATATATATATATATATATATATATATATATATATGGTCGCACTCAAGTGTGGCGACCCCTTCCCGTGTAGTCATGTGGTGATTTTCAGAATACACCAATAGTTAAGTCAGATATACACCATCAACGTCAGGAAATGCACCACAATAAACGCACACAAATTAGGTACGTATCACCAACAACACACCATTAGTTGTGAGTAAAAACACCATACAATGTTAGGAAATACACTATTGGGCTTGGTGAGTTATATGATGTATTTTTTGGGTCTGTTGTGTATTTTTGGATTTTTTTTACATTTCATTGTGGTGTGTTTCCCTTACACTGTTGGTGCATGTTGTTAACACTGTTGGTGTATTCTGAAATTCCGCCACACGACCACACCTAACAACATGACCACATATGAGCATTATATATATATATATATATATATATATATATATATATATATATATATATATATATATATAATAATAATAATAACGCTCAAATGTGGCAGTGTAGTTAGGTGTGGCAGTGTGGTTATATCTGAACCATTGGGTCAAGGCAATCTAACGGCAGAGGCTTATTTTTTTAAATAAGGAAGGATTGGTCGCGATTTGGTAAGTGGGGGTAGTTATGTAATTTTATTTATCTGATTACGTGAATGTATATAAGGTGATTTGTATTCTATTCTATATGTTTCAGCTCAGAGGGAATCGGCAACTTGGAGAAGAGTAGATCAAGATAGCGATCGCATCGAAATTTCGAGAAGATCAAGGTCGCGATCGCATCGCAAGTGGGAGAAGGTCGCCGGAGATCAGTTGATAGTGCAATTTGAGTATACCGGGCAATTTGAGATATCGCAATATGGGATTTTTTGGAGTTGTGCGATGGATCATGGTATGTGTTGATTTATTGTTGGTTGTTGTTTTAATTTGTTCATTATAATATGCGTTTGTTATGTCATGGATGTTATTATATCGTTTTTTATCTGGATTGATATTTTTCTGGGGGGTGAGATAAGCCTCTGTTGTTGTTATGGTGTTGTGTGTTATTGTGTGATTATAATGCGAAATTTGCATGGTCGTGGTGCATATTAAAGTAGTATAGTATTGTGTGTGTTTTGTAGTTATCAGATGCTATGCATGGGTTATTTAGTGCGTTATTATATATATGTGGAGTGCAGCTGTTAATTTGGACTCTGTGGGGTTCGTTTGTGATAAAGGTACGTCCATTGATGTTATTGTAGAAGGCAGTGGTGGTGTTTCTGATGAAGGTGATCATGGTATGTGTTGATTTATTGATGTTTGTAGTTTTAATTTGTTCATAATAATATGCGTTTGTTATGTCATGGATGTTTTTACATCGTTTTTTACCTGGATTGATATTTTTCTGGGGGTGAGATAAGTCACTGTTGTTGTTATGGTTTGTGTGTTATTGTGTGATTATAGTGCGAAATTTGCATAATTGTGGTGCATATTAAGTTAGTATAGTATTGTGTGTGTTTTGTAGTTACCAGATGTCATGCATGGGTTATTTAGTGCGTTATTATATATACGTGGTGTGCAGCTGTTAATTTGGACTCTGTGGGTTTCGTTTGTGATAAAGATACGTCCATTGATGTTGGTGTAGAAGGCAGTGGTGGTGTCTGCAATACAGAGCATTCCACTGATGGTGGGGTAGATCGCAGTGGTGCTGTTTGTTATGAAGGTGATCATATTGATGGTTGTGTAGAAGGAAGTGGTGGTCGATGTGATGAAGGTAATTCAACCGATGTTGCTGTAGGGGCTAGTGGTGAGGGCGCCAATGAACACTGTTCGACCGACGTTGGGGTACAAGACAATGCATGTGATTTGGAAATGTCTCTTGGGTTGGCGACCTCCGATTTGCACTGATAGTTTGAAGCATGTTGTTGGGCAAACGTTTGATTCCTTGGATGGTGCTATTGTTTTTTATAAACAGTATGCTGGGTCTGTTGGTTTTGATTGTAGGCATGGTACACTTCGGAAGAGGAGGGATGGTGTTGTTGTGGAGAGACAGGTATTTTGTAGTCGAGAGGGGTTTAAACAGAGTATTTATAGTACGCAATCTACGTGTGTTGGTGATGGTAAACCCATTGTTGTGAAGAGACGGAGGGTGACAAATAGGGTTGGGTGCAAGGCTAAGGTGGTGTTTAAGCTTAATTCTAATGGATTGTACGTTGTGCATTTTTTGGAGGAACGACACACTCATGTGATGTGTTCAATCATTGCTAAGCAATTTTTTTTTAAAGGTGAATCGTAGTCTTGATGCTGGCCACCAAATGTTCATTGTAATTTGTGTTCGGGCAAATATTGGTTATGTTCGGTCGTATAAGCTGTTTAAGGAGATTGTTGGTGAGTATTCCAATGTTGGTGCTACTGGGGTGGATTTTAAGAATTTCAAGCGTGATTTCATGGCATACATATTGAATGGTGATGCTCAACTATTCATAGACACGCTTTTTAAAAGGCGTGAATTGTGCGAGGCTTTTGAGTTTGAATATGATGTTGATGACGTTGATCAGCTTACAAGGGTTTTTTGGGCAGATGCAGTATCGAGGAAGAGTTTTTCATTGTTTGGTGATGTTGTTTTATTCGATGCTACATACCGCTCTAACAGGTTAGTAATTTATAGTTAATGTGTATTCTGTATAATATTCTGGTGCATATTTCGATGTCATATAGTGTGTTTTTGTTATACTTAGGGTATTCAGTAGTTGTTGTGATGTGCATTCTGTAGGTATAATTTGGTGTTTGTTCCATTTACTGGAATCGATAACCATAAGAGATCCATCACATTTGGTGCTGGTTTACTTACGAGGGAAGACGTAGACTCATATGTGTGGCTTTTGGAGAGATTTAAGACAACTATGCGTCATGAACCTATTTGTGTTGTTACTGACAAAGATCCAGCTATCAAGATTGCAGTTGCTCGTGTGTTTGGTACATCAAAACATAGATTCTGCATGTGGCATATAATGTGCAAAGTTGGTGAGAAGGTTGGACCGGTTTTAGCTGAGGACGAGGTGTTTAGGAGGAAGTTGAATGGCATTGTTTGGAACAAATCTATAGATTCCAAAGCTTTTGAGGATTCATGGAGTCGTATTATAGAGGAATATGGTTTGGTTTATAATGGTTGGTTTCGTTACTTGTTTGAGTCTCGTACATTTTCGGCATCTCCATACTTTCATGATGAGTTTATGTCAGGATTTGTTAGGACAACGTCTCGATCAGAGTCTCGAAATAGTTTTTTTGGCAGTTTCTCTAATGGTCATTCCAGTTTGGTTGAGTTTTTGGTGCATTTTGATAGTGTTATTAGTGCACAACGGCATGTACAAGCAAAATTGACTGCTGACTCTAAATCTTGTTTTCCTGTTTTGAAGACTCCATTGGCGCTGGAGAAGCATGCAATGGATGTTTATACCATTTCTGTATTTTATGATGTGCAAGTAGAGATTTGTGAAGGTTGTTTTTCTTGTCGAGTGGTGTCTTTGTGTGAGTGTGATCGTAAGGTGTGTTATGGGATAAAAGATGGTGACAATAAGGCATGGTGTGTGGAGTTTTTGTTGGCTGACTCTACTGCTACTTGTTCATGCAAGATGTTTGAGCGGATGGGGTTGGTGTGTAGGCATATTTTTTTTGTGTTTAAAGATCGTGGACTTGAGAGAATTCCTTCTATGTATTCGGTGTCTCGGTGGACAAAGGGTGCTTGTTTGAAGCCAATATTTGATATTGATGATACGGTTGTTGATCAATCGGCTAAAGTGGATAATGTTAGGGTGCTTGCTAATCTAATGTGGTCTGAAATATATGTGACACCCCGTAATCCAAAATCGATTAAGGGATTAATTAATTAATTAATCCTAATTCAATTGGTATCTTAATTCCTAAAATTCCTGAAAATTCAATAGTCAGGGACTAGTAATTGACTTGTCAACCCCAAAGTCAAGGTTGTACCTTAAGCTTTGTAAGGAGTTCCCTTGTCCCCGTACACCTCTTCATTTTAGTAAGGGTATTCATGACTTTTCACCTTTTGTTAGTAATGCAAGCTAACCTAGTAGAAAATCCTCATTTTCTCACCTTACACTTTCCAAACTTTAGCTCTACCTTCTCTCTAAAAAGGTAGATAGCTTTTCTTCCAAGCCAAGTTGAAGCTTTACCAAATCTTCAAGAGTTGTCAACAAGATTCTACCTTTCATACATTTGGGCATCTAGGAGGGTAAGATCTAAGTTCATCTTGTGTTTTTAGTGTCTTCTAAGGTGTCTTTTCTTAAAGATAGAATTTTATGATCTTTTTGGTGTGTTCTTGAAGTGGGTTTGGAAGGTGAGCTTTATTAGGAGCTTGGTGAGGTGTTAAGTGAAGGTTTTTGTCTACAAGAGGTAACTCATGCTCTACAAAATCTATCTTGCTTACCTATGTGATGATTTCTTGGATTCTACATGTGATTTGGCTATGAAATGTGAGTGTTTATGCATTGTCTTGTGAAAATGCATATCTAGAGCTTGTGTTTAGGGTTCTTGTATGCCGTTGCTTGGCTATTCCTTTGATTCAAGTCATTTTGTTGTATTTGGTGAGATTTGGCATGTTTTGGACTTGAATTTGAGCTTGGTGTTGAAAATCCCTTAAGGGATTATTTTGGTGTACAGGTACATACCCGCGGGCGGAACAGCGGGTAGGCGTCCACCCGCCGCCCACCCGCGGGGTACATGGCCGGTGGGTGTTGGTACTTCCCCCCCGTGGTTCCGCCCGCGGGGAACATACTGGTGTTGTTGAGAGATTTGTTCCCCGTGATTCTTTTGACTCGGTTTTTGGTCTTTTGACTTCCCGATGTTCTTTTGTGGAACTATTTGAGCGTCTTCTTGATGTTTCGTATGTCCAGAACTATATGGTAGGAATTCATGTAGGTTTTGGTGTCTTGAATCGTGCAAAGTGTTCAACATTGTGTTTCGTTGAACCGTGATGAGTCTGGTGTTCTTCCGAACTACGTTTGGTTTACCTGTTTGATGAGCATGCTAGTTCGGTGTTTAAATGCTAGCGTGTGTGTTGTGTGTACGTTCCTAACGTTGATGATAACTTGTGTTATTCATCGTAGTTGTTGGACTGTGATCCATTCCTTGATTGAGTATGGTCGTTTCATATCTTCGTTGTGATCCATTGATCGATTCCTGTTGCGCTGTGGTGTGTGTGGCTGTACCTGGATTGCACGATTAGTGGTATGGGACACTAGTCACCAAGGTACGACAGTGGTCCTCGTGGTGGCCTTGACGTGATTATGGAGTTTGTGGCCTTTGTGTAAGGTTCACGTATTTCTTGGGTGGCATGTGTTGCCGTGTGTGTGATCGGTACCTCGTGTACTATGAATTGGTGGTCTTGTTGGTGGTTTGTTGGTGGGGGACGACGGTCCCAGGAGGGAAAAGGTTGGACTAAGAAGTACAGGGGTCCTGGAGGTAACGGTTGGAACTAGACATAAGGTTGGGGGTAGCCATAAGGTCGAAACCGGGCATAAGGAAGGCATATCAACTCGTGATGGGTGATGTCACAATGGCTTGTATAGCTGTTGTTGTGAGTTCTCTTCTTGTGACATGTGTAGTCACAAAGGCATGTGTTGCCTTGGCATGTGTTGCCGTTGGGTGTGTCCTTATTCTTTTGAGTTATGCATGTCGGGTGTGAATCTATTGTGTGATGATAGATTATACACTTGAGCCTTACTTGTGTTGTCATTGTTACTTCTTGGCGTGTCGTTGGATGTGTTCCCTTATCTTATTGTGAGTGCTTTGAGTCTCGTGTTGACCTTTACTCTTGGTTTTGAACTTATATATAAGTATTCCGATTCGCAAATGATTTTACAAACGTATATCTTATCTATTTATGATATTTCACATGTATTGGTGGGTTACCAGCATTATTCGCTGACTGGGCGTCGTCCCATCTTTTATGTGTTTATTTCAGGTGATGTTTAGACGAGAGCGCGGTTTAGTGTCAGCTAGTGTAGCTCCTTTCTTGTGTTTTGTGGCCTGTGAGCCCAATATAGACTTAGTACTTGAACATGTATGGTTTTAGATGTTGAATTATGCAGATGTTAGCCTGTGCGTTCATCTCTGGATGAGCGTGGCATAGCACCCCTTTGACTTCCAGTTTATATATTCCTCTTTCAGTCTTCCGCTGTGTCTAATGCTTTGTTTAAGATATCTGCATGTTTAAGGCTTTAAATAACTTGGCATTTAGGGGGTGTTACAGTTGGTATCAGAGCCTAAGTTTGAGCCTAGGAGGGTAAAGTCTAGACTTCTAAGTGGCTAAGTGTGGTTTGAGACCTTAAAGCAACCTTAAGAATCTAAGTGTTAGGCTTAGGACTCTAGGTTGCGCGGTGACCTGAGTGTTGCTTTCAGTTATTTTCTTGTTTGTTGTCTTTTGGTAACCATGTTGTTGTTGTAGAAGTTGCGATGCCTCCTCGTCCACGAGCGCGTACCCTGGAGACCCCGACGAACGAGCAGCTTGCTTAGAACCTCCAGCAGTTAACACAGACGATGCAGACTCTTAGCGAGGCGTTGCTGAACAACAACTATCCCGTGCCACCTCCTCAACCTGCTGGACACAGGGACATGGGTCGTTTGGTGTCGGGTCACAGGCCGCCGAACTTCACGGTTGTTGGTTGTCCCAAGGAGAGAAGGGTAGAACTGGCAACATTTTATTTCTGTCATGAGGCGGATCTGTGGTGGATTCATGAGGGTCCGACCTACCTTGAGGAGCCTGAGTTCGATTGGTCCGCGCTTAAGGATAGGATGCGCGAGGGGTTTTACCCGGCACACGTGCGAGCCGCCATGTACGAGGAATTTTTCCATCTGCAGCAAGGATCTCTGTCTGTGGTCGAGTACCACAAGAATTTTTAGAGTTGGCGCGCTTTGATCGGATGTTCGTGCCTACGGAGCCCGCTAAGGTCGAGAAATTCGTTGCCGGCTTGAATTATGAGGCACGAAAAGCTTTGACTGTGAGTAGGCCAAGTTCTCTTAAGGATGCTTATGTGAGTGCCGCGGATCTGTACCGTGTTCAGCAGCTTCAGCGAGGGTCGTTTGAGCTAGCGAGGAAGAGGACTGAGGGCGGATGCTCTTCCACCTTCAAGAAGCCACGACTGAGTTTTCAAGTTAAGAATGTGCCATCTCCAACCCAAGGACCCAACCGGATGGAGCAAGGAAATCAAGCTAAGTTGTTTCCGTGCCGTAGATGTGGGAAGGTGCACGCGGGCCAAGATTGTCATGGCCAAGAGTTTAGGTGCTTTCGTTGCGGAGATAAGGGTCACAAGGTCGCTGAGTGTCCCCAGCAAGACAATCAGAGGGCGTTGCACCACCCCTAGGAGCCGGAGGAGCAGCTGGAAGTAGTTCGAGCCGCGGAGCAGCTGGAGCTAGGCCATCGAGAAGAGTCTTTGTGATGGGGCGTTCGCAGGCGGAGACTAAGGGTCTAGTGGAGGAGGAGCTAGCAGGTAATCCTTTCTGTTGGACCCGATAGGGTGGTGAAAGTCTAGAGGGGGGGGGGGGGGGGGTTAATAGACTTTCAAGCTTTTTCCAAATAAATAACTCTTTGGTAACTTCAACTCTAAGTAACAAGTAAATAGAGTAAGCTTGAACTGCACAGCGGAATAAATGTATGTAAAGAGTTATGCCCAATTAATAATTTGAATCACATGCACGTGTATGATAGGCTTAGATGAGGTGTGAGGATGACATGAATATCTTGAATATTTAAAGGAGATGGTTCACTCAATATTTAACAATAATATTCAAGACTATAAATAAGATATCTATTCACGTCGAGCGTATGACGAACGTCACATTCAATACGTCAAACTTGCTTAGAATAATTCAAAGGTTAAGCTCGGAAAGTTTGATTACATGTATGAAAACATGCTAAACACGAAAGATTAAGATAGACTGTGAATAGTAAACGGGTTAGTCGGATAAGATAGATAGATAGAGCGAATTATGTAAGTGCGGTATGTAAATGAGAGAGGCAATTTATAGTGGTTCGGAAGTGGCATAAGCTTCCTAGTCCACTTTACTCCATTCACTTCTAGGAGTAATTCACTATTTTCCACACACAGTTACAATAGTGAATAAGCGCTACACAAGCACTTCTTCCGGATGTCTTGCACACAGCTACACCCAACTCCGAGTGTCTCGAACACAGCTACACTCAACTTCGAGTATTTCGCACACAGCTACACTCACAAGAGTATTTTGCACACAGCTATACTCTTCTAACAATTACAAATACAAAGGTAATTGTATCTCTCTCCAACTATTTTTGAGACTATTCAGACTAAGTCTCTAATGAATATTTGAGCACTTGCACTTGTTTATCTCGTGTGTATTCACGTTTTCTTTTTGTATTCACCTCTATGCTTTCTTCAAGTCTTCATTGTCTTTTTATAGATAACCAAATATATCCGTTGGAGTGGGATAATTTGATATTTGAAATTTGAATCTTCATAGCCTGATATTGTTGACAATGGTAGGTCTTCAATATGATTTGATTGTCAACTTGCCTGACAAGATAATATTTTATTTCAACTTGATTTTCAAGTTGTTTCTAAAATATTATTTTCCTTGTCTATTTTGAAGTTCCAACGTCTCTTTTGCAATAAGTTCTTCTGATAGAATTTATTTCTAGGATAAGATCTTTTATCCATGCCATCATAAATTTTTCACCGTTCTGACCATATCTTAGGCAATTTGGATTCTTGTGACATGTGAGATGTATCAATATAAATTCTTTTCGAATTTATATATTTTTCTGATCTTTCTTCTTTGTCACAGATTGCTTGTTTGACTTGGCACTTCTTGCTTCTTTGACTTGAACATTGTACTTTTCTACTTTGGAGGATTGTGCTCTTTTTGCATCTCGCTTCTTTGACTTTGGCACATTGTGCTTGTTTGACTTGAGGGATTGTGCTTCTTTTGAGAGATTGTGCTTCTTCTTAAAACATTGTGCTCCTTCTTTTAAAGAAGACTTATAAAAATATAAATCCTTGGGGGGGATTAATCTCGGGTGTAATCATTGTGTGTAAGGACTTCTACCATTTCACCATTAGGCTCATCCAATCTTTCTTTGCAAAGCCATTGTTTAGTACTTCAGTTCCGAATGAATACTTGTAGGACCAAAATTAGTTCTCCCAATTAATTTTGTTCTTTATGTAGTAGACTTTCCTTTGCATACTGACTTGATATTCTGAATTATGATGCTTGTACTAATGACCTAAAATCTAAGGGGATCTAAAATACATTTGGCTCATCAAAATTTTATTGCAAAAATATTCCTATCAATTTTCCCCCTTTTTGATGACGCCAAAACCTATACTCAGTCATTTGGCTTGTCTTTAAAAGAAATTATTTTTCAAGAGATTTTATTAATCTTGACATAGCCATGATGAGTTTAACATTTGATTTTGACTCTAGGAAAGGTATTTCTAGCAACATAATTCCTATTCGCATTTTTGGATTTTAATGATAATGAATTTTTCAATTTTTCCAATTATGCAATTATGATACAAGCTAGGCCAAAAATTTACCTTTCAAGACAAATTAAAATAGCAATAGATAAAACACTATAAGCATCATAATCAGATCAACATATTATAGCAAAGAGATTCATGATCATACTTAGAAGTTTGTAAATCAACAAAAAAAAAAAAAACATTGTACCAACAGTTACATTTTCACTTGATCATTTTGTTCCTTTTTTCTTCTAACACATGGCTGACATGCTTCTTGATTTCATCAAAATTATCACTAATTGCATAATCTTTGCATACCTGCCCAATCACATAGTAGTTAAAGGCTTCAATGATGTTGTTCCCGGGCAGTATGTTTTCTTCATACCAAACGATGCATTCTTCTATATTCTTGTCTCCTTGTAGCTCAGCATCGTTCACCTTGATGTAGTCTAGAAGCACCATGCACTAGTACAGAAACAGTCATTCGCGTCCAAAGTTAAGGCTAATTCGCGTCCAAAGTAGCTGGGACGCAGATGGCGAGGACGCTGATTGTATAAACAATCAGCGTCCAAAGTAGCTTTGGACGCGCAAAATGATTATTCGCGTCCAAAGTTGAAGAACTTTGGACGCGAAAAATGATAATTCGCGTCCAAAGTTTGTGAACTTTGGACGCGTATAGTAAAAAAATTAAAAAAAAAAAACATTTTTTTTTATAAATCTACCAATATTTTCCTGTAAATCTCAGCATAACTACCAAATAATATATTTCAACATTAATCAATTTTAAGATGTATAGTATACACCAATTCTCCAAATAATATATTACAACATTAATCAATACATTAATCAATTTAAGATGTATATTATACACCAATTCTATCAACTAAAACACAGCAATCTAAAATTTCAATTCTAATAACATTTTACTACAAATAAACTACAAATTCTAAATGTTAACAATAAATTAATGGAAATTTAATTTTCAATCATAAATTAAGACATAACTTTATTTCTCTGATGGCCATAAACAAATTTAAGTTGCTTACCAGTAAGTTGCTCCTTGTGCAGGAAGACTGAGCAATGATGTCAAGCCCAAGTAGGAAACCTTCTTCTCATGCTCCCTGCAATACCAACATGGCAAGAATTAGAAACCATCACTTCTCTTAGCTTTGTTTTTCTTATGCCTTTTACATCTCTCCACAAGAACTACAAGACCAACATACTGCTACCTTTTAGAATTAGCCCGAGCTCCACTTTTTTTAGTTTGTTGTAGCATATGGAACCAAAGATTGAAGATCTCTGTAGCAACACCAAGCTTTTGCAGTATGCTCAGCGTAAATGAAGGGTTATAGTAAAGAGCATCAACAATCTGTCAATAAGAAACAAATTTAGAAGTAATTTCACAGGAAAAGAAGGCCACAAACACAGAGTATTTTTTTTTAATTTGAATGATAGACAGAAACTATGTAACTACAAGTGTTCTAGAAATACTAGTAGTTTAGAATTGCAAATAGTTAAATACAGCTTACAATTAATAATAATAAGAGCAAGTATTACAGGCAACCGAACCTTGTACCGCCGATATCGTGCTTCATTATTTCCCAGGAATCTCTTAATAAATGTATCGGTTAAAAATCCAGCAAGGCCATCCAACAACCAATCTGAAAAAATTATGTTTTAGTTGCAGATAGAACCAGAAAGTGCAAATATATTTACATAATCACTTCGAAAACAAAGTATCCAACAATATACCATCATTTGGTGTTTCAGAGGTGATATATACTCCAAACCATTGTCTTGCAAGAGCATAAGCAAGTTTAATCCTTGTCTCTATGGTCTGTTCAATAAATCTAAGCCCATCAAGAAAAACAGAACAACAAAGGAAAATGACCAAAATATTTTGATCTTGTAACCAATGTTAATGCAAGCCACTAACCAAGGATATCCATCCAGCCGTAACAGGAACGTCTAATCTATAGACAAATGTTTTACACGAAGGATCATCTTTGCTCAAGACCTATGAAGAAATGCTACATCAAATAGCACCCAATAGCACCAAAAGCAACAAGGTAAAAGTACTGAGTAGACATTGTTTTTTACTGGGTTCCAAGCAGGGAACTGCATTTTAAAAGCACAAGGGCCATGGTTCTAGATTCAACAAACTGTTTTTGTACCAGTTGCTAATACAATGCTCAATGCATGAAAAACTTTCTTCGCATATTCAGTTGTCACAAGTTTAGTCTCAGTGAAGTTCAATAAAAGTAACAATATATATTCCAACCAATGAAAAACTAATGCAGTAGAAATAAGAAAACAGATACTTATGTAAAACTATTATTTATGATAAAAGCAATCACTTAAAAATTAAAACTATTAGTCAAAGAATCATCAAGACAGACTTAATCCTACCAACACTAGAATAAGATACAATTTAGGTTAACAAATAATTGCAGTGCAATGGGAAAACAACTATGGTATGACACGAACAACCAAAGTCCAAAGCATGAGGTATAAGTTTTAACTCACTGTGCTTACCAACAAGAAGAAACAATCTTTTAAGCTCACCTGATAAAGTAAAGTCCCAGAGCTAATTGCAACAAGATTACTGGCTACTGTGAACTCCAAATCATAGCTGAGCAAGAAGCAGAACAATTGGAATGAATATACAAACGTTAAATTATTGCAATGCATGAAAATCAAAAGCTCAAAATTCGCCAAAGTACCAGCAGCGCTGCAAATTGTCATCCATGCAAGGAAACCAACAGCGTGCACGCCTTATTTGGTTATCAGTGTGTAAAACATCACCATAAAAGTGGATTCCTGTTTCTGCCTTCTCCACCCAATAGTCAATGCACAGCTTTTTAACATTCTGCATTTAACATATCCTACATGAGAAATCAGAGAAGAGTAAACCTCATTACCAAAAAGCTCTAAAAAGCTCCTAGACTATCTTCTGCAGAACAGCATACAAGAGTTCAACTGCACCTCACACTAAATGAAGAGACATTAAAAGACTTACGTCTATGCATTTTTAAATGATTATGACCCAGAAATATCTAAAAAGATCTTTTTAATAGAAAAAATAATGCAACCAGATTATTACATTAGAGCATTAAATTTCTTTTGCCACATTATGCACTTTTCGAATATAATATAATTAATATTGATCAATGTTCAAAATAATAGTGTTTTCTAAGTCAACTTTTAAAGGAGCAGCTGAAGCAAGAAGCTATGACCAAACACTTAGATGATGTCAAGTCTCTGAGTCCATTTGTTGTATACTATGCAGAAACATGTTTGGGTGTAATGACACATACACATTCACACAGTGTCCTGTAAGTTTTGCTTCAGGAGCATGAAGGTCCAAACATGACTCATTTACCAAAATGCAAGCAAGGCTTATAACCGTCCACAAGTAACATAATTACAAAATTGTCACATGATGCATGTTAACACAAGCAACCAAAAGAACTCATCGTAAACCTGCTTTTCTTCAGCTGAAGATTTAACTCCATTCTCCAGAGCAGGGCCGTATTTTAAATTTTGGTGGCCCTGTTCTGGTAAATAAATGTGGCCCTACCAAAATCACAATTTTTAAAATCAATACATGCAAGTTTCGAACCTTTGACCTCCAAGTTAAAATACAATAAATATACATTTTTACCATCTCTTCATAGAACCTTTTAAGTTTAATTGAAAACTCTTAATTTTTATTTCTAAACTAGCTAGGTAAAAATTAAATATTGGACCTATAAAATTTGGGGCCCCTCTAAAATTGGGGGCCCTGTGCGGTAGCCCAGCTTGCACAGCCTAAAATCCGGCCCTGCTCCAGAGTCCCTGGTTCTTCTTGTTTTTCTTCAATTGAAGATTTAACCCCATTCTCCAGAGGCACTTCCTGCTGTTCGCTCTCCAGCTTAGAAGATTTACTACACATGATCAGCAAATTTGGAACCAACTCCCTATCGAGAGTAGATAAGTAAACCGACCCCGCTGCATCAGTTTTCCAAAAACTCGAATTCTAAAACCTAATCTGCACACAGTCTCTAACAATACATTCCAAAGTGATTTAAGCAGAGATTTAAAACCCTTCTGAAGTCGAATTAACCGAAATGGGAACAAAAGTACAACAAAACCTCCCCGACCTTTCTAGAGAAATTAATCGAAAAAAAAAGGATAAAAACAAAAACAAAACATACAGACCCGTAAATTCGACGCTTCTCCATGTCGATTGAAAGGCAGAGCTTCTGATGGCGAATTACAGCTTCGGTGTTCTCTCCCTTTTGCTCTTCGCTCTTTCCCTTTCGAGGCTTCGCCATTCTTGCGTAAACACATACGGCGTAATCCACTACAAATCTATCAATCAAACAAAACACATACAATTCATGCAGCGACCCTGTATACATCGAGAGACAGAGAGAGAGAGACAAAGAGTGGTTCTATTAAACGGAGTGGGAGATGGAGATGGAGAACGGATTGGGCGGCTGAGCTGCGGGTTAGGGTTGGAGTATGAAGAACTGATCGATTATGGGGAAGGGAGGGGATTAGAATGATTATTCGCGTCCAAAGTTCTCAACTTTGGACGCGAATTAAAGAGGCGTTTTATTATTCGCGTCCAAAGTTCGAAACTGTGGACGCGAATTTTGCCAGCATTTAATTATTCGCGTTCAAAGTGTGCAACTTTGGACGCGACTAATTTAAAAAAAAAAAAAGAAAAAAGAATAGAGTGGCAATTTAATTACAAAATTGCCACCGCACTACACATTCGGCGTCCAAAGTTCAAACTTTGGACGCGAATTATTAGATTTTATTGATATTTTTTGTACTAGTGATGATCATTAGAGATCTCGCATAGCTTTTGATTCTTCGAAAATTCTCCTTTGAAACCCACATATTTTGGTCACTTGGACCACTTCTTTTCATCCCTTTTGGTAGATCATTGAGATTTACCAATTGTGGCATTTCAACTCTGCCATCTCTTGGTGTGGATTCCAAATATAGGGCTGCTTTGTTGTACAGTTAATCTGGTCTTGGTTTCCACCTGCACACACAATGTCACGAAAAGATCTATTAGTGATATTGGCACTGCTAGATCCACCTGGACTGCTTGCATCACCACCACCAAACCAGTATTCAAGACCTCCTCTTCGTGCAACATTGCCTCTTCCAATTCTGCCTCCTCCTCTACTGCTAGATGCACTAACAGTTTTGGTAGCCAGGGCAGTCATGATTGTCTCCAACATTGCTTCCAAATGACTGAATCTCTCTTCCCCCTTTTTGGCGTAATCAACCAACATATGCACTGATTCTCTAAGGGAAGAAACAGATTGTGAAATGATGTCATAGGAACCACGAAGACATCCAACTTTGGTGTTGATAGAATCAAGATCTGTGTGAACATCCCTTATTCGATCTTCTTGTTGATGAACCACTTTAAGAATCCTTTGACTTTGATTTACGGAGACCACCTGATTGGCTTGTCTATCATTATTGAGGGTTTGAGAAAGTTGAAGAAAGAATTCATTGAGGACTCCTTTTACATTGGCATTCAAACCACCAATCTGCTTCTCCAAGGATTGATGTGTATCAATCAAATTTTGTTGACTCTTTTGATTGTCAACAAATGATTCTTCAAGCTTTCCCGTGTGAGTGTGGATAACATGATCAACATGAGTGTAGATTCCTTGGATCAAACCTTCCATCTTGTCCACTAAGCCGAGAATGACAATTTCCAGCTTCTTTAGGCTTTCATCCGAGACAGTAGCTTCATGATTGACTTCTTGGACAGTGTGTTGAGTGCTTGCTTTTCCTTGAGCTAAGTTGTCACCAGCCAATCGAGATTGTTCTTGTTCCTGCCTTGCTCTTTCTGGGGTAAACTGCTCAAGTACAAATGTATCATTTTGACCACTCTCAAAATGTTGAGAATGTCCTTCTTCAGTGTGTTGACTGCCTTGCATGGCTTGAGATTCAATATGTGCATGGCTCACCTCAGTATGATTTAAAACACTCACATCATATAGATCAATATCAAGATAATTTGGATTCACAAAATCATTTCCTTGATCAGTAAACTGACCAAAGAATTTAGTTTGAGAACCACTTTCCATTTCCGGATCTGTGATGTGTCAAGACATCTCCATTACTCGATCAATTTCATCATCATCTAAAAAATCATTTCCAGTTGGCAGATTTCCTTGGACTTCATGAGCTTGAACTTGTTCGACCATTTTTGCTTTCAATTTGGCTAGAAAGGCAGCATTGATAACAGAAATCCTTGTGGCTTGAGAAATAACATGACAGTCAGTCCAATTTAGAGCAAATAGTTCTTCATTCACCATGCTAGGTCCACGTAACATTAACTCTTGATATGTACCAACTCTCCCACCTCTCCAATTCAGTATTCTTTGGTACTCACTCACCAAAACTGAGTCTAACCCATCAAATTGACATATAATCTCACATTGAACTTCCTTCATGGCTTCTACCCGAGAGGTTGGGTTATTTGGGTCATTATTTTGGTTGGAGTTTTGATTGAGACTTGTGGTGTGATTTTGGCTTAGGTTTTGGTCATTGTGGCGAGATGTATGAGTGTTGCTTGGATTGGGATTGTGACTGGAAGTATGAGTGTGACTGGGAGGGTCATTGGATTGGGGTTCGGGTGGAGGATTTTCATTGAGGATATCTTCTACCAATCTTTTTCGGGCGGGTAGTGCTCGGGTGGTTCTTTTCCTCTTGTTAGACTCATTTATCACTTCAAAATCTTTGTAAAGAACCCTATTATTTCCAAAAGGCTTCCTTGCTCTCATGATCAACCCTTTGTGTCTTAAGATTTCACCAATTAACAAACCAAATCCTAGCACATGGCTAAACCTCCCATTCTTGATTTTTGCTCCCTTAACAAAATGGCATATTCTGCTCAACACTAACTTACTCCAATCTGCCTTAACACCAGTCATAATAGCATGAAAAAAAACAATTCTTTTCGGAGATATATCCTGCATACTATTTATTTTGCACAGAATACATTTGTATATCACATTGATCAACATTTCATATTCTGGCTTCAAATCAGTTTTATCTCCAGATAGATTAGGCTGAACATGTGACATCTCATTCCTAATCTCTATCCAGACCTCAGTTCGGTCATATACATGCATGTCTAAATTTAACAATGGTTGTTCCGGTGTAGATATAGGCAGTCCAAATGTTGAAAATAACTCATTTTCTCCAATGGAGATAGGAGTTCCATTAACAGTGGACTCAATGGTCCAACCGTTCACCTTGGCATTGACATAGAAGTCGGCTACATCCTCACAATAATATCCAGAGTAGGAATAGGAACATAACCTCATTAGACCACTGTTTTGGATTGCATGGATGATCCTTTGAGCAAGCTCCGAATTTTTGGCAGTTTTGAGAAATCCAGTAGGGTCGAAGCTTCCTCCGGCTTTGACATTGGTGGCCAGTCTGGTGAGATTCATTTGCACGGGTTGTTCTTCATGGACTTGTGAGCTTGATTGGCCGATTGTTTCCATTGTGTAGTTGAGGATTGATGAGGATTGAGAGATGTAAGAGTTTTGGTAGTGTTCGGCTATGGAAGATGAAGAGTTTCGAAAAGTTTGGAAGGGTTGTAAAGTGGAGAAGATGATGACCATTGACCTTTTGACCGGTTTGAGTGGAAGGGGTGTTTTTACGAAGAGGTCCTTCACTTATAGTGTAGGGCTTCTAAGTGTTGAAGGGTGTTTTTGGAATTCCACTGGTTGACATACTAATTGTCAGTCTAGGTTTTATATTCTCCATTCGATTTGTCTGCTTTGTGGCGCCAAATTTAGAAGTATAGAATCATTTTTGACCTGCCACATAAACAAATAGTACTAAGTCTATTCCAATAACAAAAATAATAATAAAGATAATAAAAATAATAAAAGTAATAGAAGTGATGGTGGCCAAAAAATAAATAGATGGACAACTAAATAAATGTGATGAAGTAAATGCTATCAACTACCATAACTAGATGCTCTTATTTAAGCTAATAGGCAATCATCACACTATTTTGTCACACATAAATAAGGTAGATATTGTATGTAAGAAAATCTTGCAAATATTTATATATATATATATATACACGGTTAAAGAGAGAGGTATTTATGCAAAGAAAATAAAGACAAAACAAAGTATTTAATGCAAATTATCCTAGAGGTGACATTTTGGTGCATGTTGGACACATAGGCAGAAAAAAAAATGTGACCGAGAAAAAAAAATAATGCATATAAGAAAAAAAAATGAGCTTATAGTTAAATGAGATTTAGTGACTTAGCTCAATTCGATCATGCCCATTTCGTGTCTCAATTTTGCAAACCTTGATTCACACAAGGGCTTTGTGAAAATATCAGCTGTTTGATTTTCCGTTGGAATATATTCTATTCTCAGATTCTTCTTTTCGATGTGATCACGGATAAAATGATGTCTTACGTCAATGTGCTTAGTTCTTGAATGTAGCACGGGATTTTGAGTGATTGCGATAGCACTTGTATTATCACAAAATATGCTAACATCTTCGCAATTTACACCATAATCTTTTAATCGCTGCTTCATCCAAAGAATTATTGCACAACAACTCCCAGCTGCTATATAGTCAGCTTCAGCGGTGCTTATAGCTATGGAGTTTTGCTTTATGCTAAACCAAGATACCAATCTTCCCCCTAAGAACCGGCATGTCCCTGAGGTACTTTTTCGATCGATTTTACACCCTGCAAAATCTGCATCTAAAAAACCAGTTAGTGTAAAATTACCTTCTTTGGGATACCATAATCCCACATTGACTGTTCCTTTTAGGTATCGAATGATTTTCTTGGTAGCAAGAAGATGACTTTCTTTTGGCTTTGATTGAAACCTAGCACATACTCCCACTGAGTAAGATATGCCTGGTTGGCTTGCAGTGAGGTATAGTAATGATCCAATCATTCCTCGATATTTTGTTTCGTCAACATCCTTGCCTTCATCATCTTTATCTAATCTTAAAGATGTGCTCATCTGGATCTTGATTGAAGATTTTCCATCTTGACCGAATTTCTTTATAAGATCTTTTGTGTATTTGGCCTGATTGATGAATATTCCTTCGTTGAGTTGCTTTACTTGTAAGCCAATAAAGTAATTCAACTCTCCCATCATGCTCATCTCAAACTTATTCTGCATTAGCTTGGAAAATTTCTCACATAAAGTTTTATTAGTACTACCAAAAATAATATCATTTGATAGGAATATTTTTGTAAGTTTTGATGAGCCAAATGTATCTTTAGATCCCCTTAGTTTTTAAGCCTTTAGTACAAGCATCATAAATCAGAATATTGAAATCAGAAGGAATCTACCATAGGAAGAACAAAATTAATTTGAGAAATTAATTTTGGTCCGACGAGTATTCATCCGTGAAAGAAGCATAAAGTAATGGCGTTGCAAGGAATGATCGGATAAGTCTAACGGCGAAATGGTAAAGGTCCTTATTCTAAACGA